TATTTATTTTTCTTTAAGATTTTGTTGTTTTACTTGTCATTTATTGGTTTTAAAACTAATATTTTGATTCGTATTCCAGATTTGATTAATGAACTGTTTCTCAATCAGGATAATTATTATTTTTTTTTTTTTTTTTATTTGAGTTTTCATGCTATATTTTTCTATACAATGTTTTTATATCCGAAGATATTGTTGGCTTAGCATAGGAACAGCTACAAATAGTCATTAGACTAATCCAAAGTAGCGTCCGTTACCCAATGGGCACAAGACGTGTTTTAAACGTCTAGAATATGTATTAAAACGTTTTAATACGTGATTTAGACGTTTAAAACGCGTCTTGTGCCCACTGGGTATTGACCAACATTTTTGCGTACCGAAGTACTACTCAAGCGCTGAGTTGGTGGTGGAGGGATTTGAACTCGTATCGTTCAACAGTCCGGGTTTTAACTTTTCCTTTAACGCTCTAACCATCTGAGCTATCCCGCCACAGTAACGTAGAAATAAAATGTCCTGTATCAGAAATAGATAATGGCTGTGTTTATAAAAACTTAAATTTTTTGGTTTGAAATAGGGGCACTATTCTCTATTTTTGACCTGGGCGCCATTGGCACTCTCGAAGGCCCTAATGCCCCCACTCAATGAATATTGTTAGATTTTTTTTTAAACTGATTATAAATGTGTTTTTAAGATTTATAATTTAAAATAAAAATTTTGTGTTGTGAATAACATAGGTGGCCAAATTCCCCCTAATTAGATTTTATTTGGGTAATTTTGTCACCCCATTTTTTCTGTTCTAATTATTTGAAGAAAAAAAAATTAAAGTATGTTAAGTTTATAAAAATATTATTAACAATATGAAAAAAAGTTCGATTTTCATTTTTAGTTCTGAAGATATTTAAATTGAAAGAATTGGTGGCGAAATTCCCCCATCTTACTCTATAACAATTTAGTTAATCTCTTTGAATAAAGACTTTAAAATAAAATTATACCTTAAAATTAACCTCTTATTTTTTCAATTATTTTGGCGCGATTTTCGAACTTAACGGCACAATCTTATTCAAAAATTTGCTTGTTTTCACATGTTTTTGTTATGACAAATTATTAATTTTGTTGCTTAGAATGGCTAGAGTTCGATAAAAATTTTAAATTGTATACTAAATTTAACGCTTAAGTGTCTGATTTATATCAAAATTTAGTTAATCTCCTTGTAACTCTAGCCTGAAGTTTATAAAGAACTAATAAATGTTCTTAATAAAGTTAAAGATCAGTTTAATAGTTTTGCTGTTTTTTCATATAAGTATGTATATAAAATATCTTTCTATATATAATACATGCTTTTCTTAAATATAAAAGCTACATATAATATGCAAACACACTATTATCAGTAATATCATATGTTATGTATATACATATTCTTTATATATATATATATATATATATATATATATATATATATATATATATATATATATATATATATATATATATATATATATATATATATATATATATATATATATACATATGTATATATATATATATATATATATATATATATATATATATATATATATATATATACATATACATATGTATATATTATATAAATATGTATATATATATATATATATATATATATATATATATATATATATATATATATATATATATATATATATATATATATGTATATATTTAATATAAATATAATATATTATATAACATATAATATATTATATATATATATATACATATATATATATATATATATATATATATATATATATATATATATATATATATATATATATATATATACATATGTTATATGTATATATTTAATATAAATATATTATATAACATATATATATATATATATATATATATATATATATATATATATATATATATATATATATATATATATATATATATATATATATATATAAGCAATTATTATTTATTATATATATATCTGGTTTTGTACTGTACCTGGAAAACCTGGAAAGCTTGTTTGTTTTGGCTAAAGTCATGAAAAATCTGGAAAATTCAGGGAATTTTTACAATTAAGCAATTATATTATTGTTGGTGCTACCTATTTACTTTTTCTGAAACTTATGTTTTTCTTAGTGTTCATTCTTAGTCACCCTTAATAATAAAAACTATACTAAAATGTATAATAAGATTCATACTAATATCCAACTTAACTAATAGCTAAGTTTTATAAGTTTTACTATTCGAAGCATATACAATTTTAGCATTTCCATTACAGTAGATAATAATTTTAAACATTTTTTAAAAAGTATTATTGAAAATGTTCTGTGAAATTTGTCTGATTTTTAAAAAAAAGTCAGGGAAAAATCAGGGAATTTTATATAAATATTTGGCTATGAACCCTGTACAATAAATGCTTCTAAATATTATTTATATATAATAAATGCTGAGTTGTACTTTGGTATGCAAAAATGTTGGTCAATAACGGACGGTACTTTGAACTAGTCTTAATGACTATTTGTGGCTGTTTGTATGCTAAGCCAACAATATCTTCAGATATGAGAACATTGCATAGAAAAATATAGCATGAAAATTCAAATAAATAAAAAAATAAATTATATTAATATAAAAATATAAAATATATTTGTTAAAAACGGTATAAAATATAGTATATAATTGTAAAAATAATCATAATAAAAGCCATAAAATTGTAAACAACCTTCCTATATATACAAAAAGATTTATTAAAAATTATTTTAACAAATGTCAAGTATAACAAAAGAAACCGGTAAATCATATTAAACTATAAGAGTTTTAAAATTAAATTATAATAAGTATTAAAAAAACTCTTTCTTTTCGCAACAGCACAACACATTTTCACTTTAAAGGACAGATTTATGACCAAATTGATGGAGTTGCTATGGGTTCTCCATTAGCACCTGTACTTGCTAATCTGTTTATGGGTAATTTTGAAGAAAAATGGGTCAAATCTTGTAATGGAGAAAAACCGTTGTTCTACTACCCTTGGTCTCCGCTATATTTTTAAAAATCTTTTCAAAACTCTCAAACGTAATATGTACCCATCTTGGCTAATGTGTGTATATATATATATATATATATATATATATATATATATATATATATATATATATATATATATATATATATATATATATATATATATATATATATATATATATATATATAATATAATATATATATATATATACAGTATTGTGCAAATTAGTTCGGACAGTGGCAAAATTGGAATAATTTTCACAATATGCCCAACATTTAGCTATGATACTAAAGATTCTCTTGTTTTTTCAGATAAATAAGTGTTTTACTGTAGTCTAGTGGTGTCTGGCAACTCTTTGCTGTCTTATGGGCTATAATCAAACACAGACTCCTGAAAGAAAACTGTTCGACAATGGCAAAGCTAATTAATGCTGTAATTAGGACCTGGTATCATGATGAGCAAATGACTAAAATGTGTTCAACTTTAATCGAATCCATGCCAAATTGTGTTCAAATGCTTGTAAAAGCCAAAGGAGGTCATATCTTCTATTAATTATATCATATTTTGTACCATTGGTATGTTTTTTTTTGAATAAAACTTCAATGTGGCAAATAATTATGTTATTTCAACCACTGTCCAAACTAATTTGCACAATACTGTATATAGGCTTCACAACGTTTTATAATTTTCCACTTTATAATAGGTGTTGCACCTTTTTCTTTTAAACTCTAAATTTCTTTTGAAAGTTCAGTATCATTTTTATATTTGATCGCATTAAAACGCATTAACACAACCACAAGATTTTACAAAGTCAAAGAAATATAACTACAAAAACATGCAACTGTATTACTAAAACCGCTTGTCCATTAAGAAACCAATGTTTAGTAAGTAATAATGTTTACCAAGCCACTGTGAGTTCTGATGATCCAGATCCTAAGGAAAAAGTATATTTTGGTATCAGTGAGACACCATTCAAGCTCAGGTACGCAAATCATTTAAAATCTTTTAATGCGATCAAATATAAAAATGATACTGAACTTTCAAAAGAAATTTGGAGTTTAAAAGAAAAAGGTACAACACCTATTATAAAGTGGAAAATTATAAAACATTGTGAAGCTTACAAACCAGAGATAAAAACCTGCAAACTTTGTCTTCATGAGAAATTAGAAATTTTATATTTTAATGGAAACAACCTGCTTAATAAAAAAGATGAAATATTATCTAAATGTTGATATTTAAATAAATTCCTGTTATCTTCGTTTGATACTGGAGATTGAATTATTGCGCCTTTTTAAATTACGTCAGAACTTGTTCTACCGTAAAATTTTGATTCGTTTTTTAAGCGTTAATTTATGTTTTTAATTTGTAATTAATAGCTGATGATTGCCGAAAGGCACGAAACTTTAAGTACTATTATAATGTTGTTTTTCTTCATTTAAATAATATATATATATATATATATATATATATATATATATATATATATATATATATACATATACATATATATATGTGTGTACAATATATATAATATGTGTATACAACCCTCCGAATTAGAAAAATTGAGGTCGGCAATAATTTGCCAACCTCAATCTTTTAGAGGTCGGCATCAGGTCAGCAAATACAAAGGTCCTACCATAAAACATTGAAATGAGGTCGACAAAACCAAATTTTTTTTGCCAACCGCAAACACGTTTAGGTCGGCAGTTAGGTCAGCATTGCCGAATGTCGACCCTAATTCCGAGGGTTGTGTATATATATGTGTATATATATGTATATATATACATTATTTTTCATAATTAGACTTTATACAATGTTTTCATTTTGGCTTTTGTTTCATTTCTGATTGTATTTTTATTTGATATTTGATATTTTGAGTTTTTAGATTATTTCATTACATCATATACATCAAAATGTTTAATAAAGTTTGTGGAATTTAAGTTAAAAACATCAACTTAATGTTTAGTAAAATTTATTATTTTTAGTTTTAAAATATTTTTTAAAAAGAATTATGTTTAAATCAAAAGTAGTACCGAATGGAGATTTTAAAAAAAATCAAGAAAGAAAAACAGTTGCTCTACGGCATAAAACATCTAGATATTCAGTTGTTAGTGAACGAAGAAAAATGTCTGAAGATTTAAATAATGGTAAGAAGTTTTTATTGACTTTGGTATAATTTACAGGTATATATTTTATAGCTTTTATTTTATCACATTGACTTTGCTATGAGACTTAGCAAAGAAGTGATGGTTCACATTTACTATGTGATCTTTGGGTGATACATTAGTTTTACGAGACAACAGCAGTCACATTGGAGTTGATCTTTTTTATTTTTATAATAAACAACAAACAGATGAAATGTTGCTTGATTGGCTTGCCTATAAAACTGTTCTGGTACTCAAATTATATATATATATATATATATATATATATATATATATATATATATATATATATATATATATATATATATATATATATATATATATATATATATATATATATATATATATATATATATAGGCTTGGTCAGGAAGGCGTGTGATCTCACGCCATTATATGTGACCACGCAAATAATATTTTATTTTGACCACATTTTTTAACATTTTAAAATTGCGCTGAAAAAAATTATTTTTGATTACGTCAAAAATAAATAACTTTGAAACTTTTATCTTTAGTAACATTTTTATATTAGCGAAATGCTTTTAAATAAAGTAACAGTTACTGTTAACGTTTTTATTTAAAGTATAGATGAAAGTGGTATAAATTTCATCTATACTTTAAAAATGAAAGTTGTATAAATTTTTTGAGAAGATAAAAAGACAACCTTTTGAATTTAAGACAGCCGTTTGAATTAAACTTTGATCTTTACTTATGTTTTTATATTATTAAAATGCTTTTAAATAAAGTAACAATTCACTGCTAATGATTTTTTTACATTAAAGTATTAATGTATTTTTCTTTCGTCTTTAAATTAAAAAATTATTGATTATTTGCAAGTTGAAAAAAAAAATATATAAATATAATTTTATTTTTATAATTTTTATGATTTTTTTTCTCTTTAGTCTTTAAATTAAAAAAAAAGAATTATTAACAAATTAAATCAAATTATAAGTTAAAGGAATAGTTTGTTCATTATTTTTCGTTTTCATCTTCATTTTTCCTCATTTGCTTTCTGATATTGGATTTCTGGCAAAAGTAAAGATTTATTAATTATTTTTTTTGTTTACATTACTCCGAAGAATTGTAAAATTTTTTTGTTGCTGTCTTCTAAATATGCGTATTTATTAAAAAATTGTTGAAAGTTGTTACTTTGTTTAAAAGGGTTTCGCTATGTCTATATAATAAAAAAAAAAACATGTTTTTTTTGTTCGTTAGTCAGTCGTCATTTTTGTAAAATGCGTCCTCTCCCCCCATCCCCTCCCCAAAAAATAAAATAAAATAAAAAGCGTCATTAAAAAAAGTTTCCTTGTTAAGTCAAATTGTTTTTTTTTTAAATACCAATAATGCGCAACAAAGTTTTTTATAAAAACAACAGTCTTTATTTACAGTTTTTTTGTCAATTAGTACTATTTATTTATTTTTTAATATAAATATAATTTTATATGGTGCGGTGACAAAGCAGACGGACATTACTAGTTTTACATTATAAAAACATTAGTAAAGATTCAAAGTTATTTATTTCAAATGTAATTATCTTATTGTTTATTATTTATTTCAGTTAATTTTTTTTAATTTTTGTTTTAGTTATTTATTAATGAGCTATTTTTATTTTATTTTTCATTATTTTTTTTAAGAAGATTTTATTTCTTTTCTTAAAATAAGTTTGTTTTTTTAGTTTTTTTATGACTTAGTTAAGTTTCCAGTGCTTTATTAAAATATTAAAACTGTGGTCAAATCGTCAAAATTAAATATTATTTACGTTGTCATATAAAGCCGTGAAATTGCATGCCTTCCTGAACAAGCCTGTATATATATGTATATATATGCAGTAGTAGTGTAGTGGTAAGAGCCCTCGCTTTGTAAGCGAGAGGTTCGGAGTTCGACTCCCACCATATCCCTGGAAAGCCTCCTCGACTTTAGTGGCCCCCTCAGGCCTTGGGGAGGTGAATAATTAAATATATATATATATATATATATACATATACATATATATACATATATATACATATATATACATATATATATATATATATGTATATATATATATATATATATATATATATATATACATATACATATACATATTCATATACATATACATATACATATATATATATATATATATATATACATATACATATATATATATATATATATATATATATATATATATATATATATATATATATATGCATATATATATATATACATATACATATACATATACATATACATATACATATACATATATATATATATATATATATATATATATATATATATATATATATATATATATATACATACACATATACATATACATTTATATATATATATATATATATATATATATATATATATATATATATATATATATATATATATATATATATATATATATATATATATATATATTTATATATATATATATATATATATATACTCTTGCATGGTAGTTAAAAAGAGTTTCCCATAAACTGTAGTTTTAAAGAGCGCGTTAATAAACCAGACCAGAAAAAGTTTAAAAACTTGAATTTTTTTTTTTTTTTTAAATGATAGACTGCCTGCCCAAACCAAACCCTCAGTCGATGTAGCAGCACTTCCTTGCGAGTCAGGCTATTTGTCAGTCGATGTAGCAGCACTCCCTTGCGAGTCAGGCTATTTGTCAGTCGATGTAGCAGCACTCCCTTGCGAGTCAGGCTATTTGTCAGTCGATGTAGCAGCACTCCCTTGCGAGTCAGGCTATTTGTCAGTCGATGTAGCAGTACTCCCTTGCGAGTCAGGTTATAAGATAGTCGATGTAGCAACATTTACGCATGTTTTAAAAATGTTTTTTAATAAAACAAAAACAAAAACACTACTAATTAAAAAAAACTTTCTAGTCGTTATTATTGCGGTTTTTTGAAAAATTTTTAAGAAACAATAAAATTTAATGTACTTCCACATTAATTTAATTGTTTTGACATTTCGACGACAATCAAATACAGCTTAAGAGACGAGGTAATTAAAATTGTAGTCGAAAGAGACTTTTTTTTACTTCAAAACGCTCTTTCGACTACACTATAATGATATATATATATATATATATATATATATATATATATATATATATATATATATATATATATATATATGTATATATATATATATACTCTTGCATGTCTCTTGCGTAGCATCAAAAAATATTTCCCATAAACTGTAGTTTTAAAGAGCGCGTTAATAAACCAGACCAGAAAAAGTTTTAAAAATTAATTTTTTTTTTTTAATTGATAGACTGCCTGGCCAAACCAAACCCTCAGTCGATGTAGCAGCACTCTCTTGCGAGTCAGGCTATTTGTCAGTCGTTGTAGCAGCACTCCCTTGCGAGTCAGGCTATTTGTCAGTCGATGTAGCAGCATTCCCTTGCGAGTCAGGCTATTTGTCAGTCGATGTAGCAGCACTCCCTTGCGAGTCAGGCTATTTGTCAGTCGATGTAGCAGCACTCCGTTGCGAGTCAGGCTATAAGATAGTCGATGTAGCAACATTTACGCATGTTTAAAAAATGTTTTTTATTAAATCAATAACAAAAACACCACTAATTAAAAAAAACTTTCTAGTCGTTATAATTGCGGTTTTTTAAAAATTTTTTAAAAAACAATTAAATTTAATGTACTTCCGCATAAATTAATTGCTTTGACATTTCGATGACAATCAAAAACAGCTTAAGAGACGAGGTAATTAAAATTGTAGTCGTAAAAGACTTTTTACATTAAAATGCTCTTAAAGCGACACTATATGAGTATATATATATATATATATATATATATATATATATATATATATATATATATATATATATATATATATATATATGTATATATATATATATATATATATATATATATATATATATATATATATATATATATATATATATATATATATATATATATATATATATATATATATATATATATATATATATATATATATATATATATATATTAGAGTGTCCCAAAAAACAACTTTTTTAAAAATAATCTGCTCTCACCCCCTAAATGTGTTCTGGTACTCAAATTAAGCGAAATTATATAAAAATTTCAAAAAAAATGTTCATTTTGAAAAAAATGCTACGTATCAATATTTCCCTTAAAATATACAATATTTGCCAAAACAAAAAACAATTTTCTGTAAAAAAATCGCCGATTTCGTTAAAAAAAAAAGATCCTCATTTTTCAATTTGGGCGGCGCCCAAATACAGTCGGCGCTGCTGAAAATGGTCTAGAATAGCCCCTGTATATATATATATATATATATATATATATATATATATATATATATATATATATATATATATATATATATATATATATATATATATATATATATACATGCCTTGCGATAAAGCGTCGGGCGATGTGAATTTTACGTCGTCCAAGAGCGATTTTGCGTGTAGCTAGGACTATTTGTGTCGAGCAAAAAATTTTTTGTTTGAGTATATTTAAAGATATTTTTGAGTGGAATTTTAATGAAGTAATTTACGATTATTTTAACATTTAATAAAGTATTTTAAAAACTGCACGCAGTTGATATAAAAGTTTAAATTACAAAAAAAATAAATATGCTCATTATTTACAAGTAGAAAAAATTCCGATTAAAAAAAAGTTTAAATCTTTTTAAGCTAGCATTTTAATAAAATTAATCAGCAATAGCAAAGTTGTTGATAAAATTGAGCAAAAATACTTTCTTTTAGTTTTAGATTTTCAACTTAAATAATTATTTTATGGGGGTTTGTTAGCTTTTAAAATTATTCCATAGATTTAAAAATATTTATTAACTGTTAGACGAATTTAAAGTATTTAAGAGTAATTTCGAGGAAACATTTTAAAAATTGGTAAGCGCAAATAAAAAAAAATAAAAGGATTAATATTAAAACGTATTCTACTTGATTAAATAAAAAAGTACAGTTATTAAAATTTTTGTAAAAAGTGACTCGAAAAAAATTACTTAAATATTAACAATCGCTTTTTTGTTAAAAGTTACCAAAACTCAACGAAGCGTGCTTAAGAACAGCTGCTGAAAAATAGAACGTCAATAGTTTTTCGAATAATTTTTTAATAATAATTTTTAAGAATAATTTTTTCTCTGAAATATTTCTTTTATACCTAAAAGATTTTTATTCTAACATTTTATTTTATTTTACCAAAAATAAAATTCCTTGTAAAGATTAAAATCTATTCAAAACGTTCGTTAAAGTTTTTTAATAATACGAGTGATTGTGCTTATCAACCGCTTTATGAAAATAAATAAAAATAAATAAATAAATATTATCTTAAATCGCTAGTAAAAATATTAGCTATTGCACAGTTTTTAATCGTACAATATTAAAATTTCTAGTTTATTACTCTCTGACTTTTTAAAAAGAAAAAATAATTATTTGAAAAACTTATGTTTTTTATTCATTTAGTATAAACAAAACGTGTCAAACATCGATAAAAAAAACAAATGTTTTTACATTTTAAAAAACGAAACATTCCAAAACATTTTTAAACAATAACATTTCTACATTAAGGATTTAAAGTAGTTTTGCGGTAATTAAGTAAATTGGTGCAGTTAATGTCGATAAATATGAAAAGCAAATAAAAAGAATTTAATGACGTCAAAAATCACGTCGTGCAGTTTTTATTCATCACAAGGCCTGTATATATATATATATATATATATATATATATATATATATATATATATATATATATATATATATATATATATATACATATATATATATATATATATATATATATATATATATATATATATATATATATATATATATATATATATATATATATATATATATATATATATATATATATATATATATATATATATATATATATATATCAGGGCGCGACAAATCGTTTTTTTTTCACAGACGTTGACGTTCGTATCTTAAATTATTGACGAACGCCTAATTTAAGTGATACGTGTCAAATAATATATAAGAATATAAGTTTTATATTCAAATAAATTTTTATTCTAGTTAATAAGCATTTGAATATATGAAAGATGGTTATTGAATTTAATCAATTGTCATATTTTCGAAACAATTTTTCATGCATTTGCAAAGTGCGCTAAAGTTATTGATTTTTAATATGCAATGATTGTATACTGTTATTCAACGATGCAAAACTTTTTTTTTAATTTAGTTTGTTAAATTTATTTACTCATAAAATATACGTATAAATGTGAAGAAATTAAAATAAAAGGAACTAAAGAAATAAATCGAAAAATGACGTCTCATTTATAAATATATATTAATTTTTATATTTATATAAATGGATTTAAAAATTGCTAGAACTTTTTAATTTATGGCCTTCCAAATGTCTAATACCAACTGCTGCGTCAATCCAATTTTTGACATGTTTTTGGGGCATAAAGTCTTTAATTAACTGGCCATCAAGCTTTATACGCATAATATCTTCTAAGGTATCATAATTTAATGAAGTTCGCAAAATATTTTTTTGTAAGTTCATACAAGAAAAACTGCGTTCGCAACTTGCCGTTGAAGCGCTGAAAGTTAGCATAATCTCTAACAAGACATTTATACTTGCCAATTCAGATTCATTCTCCAGCAAGATATCTTTATAAATGCTTAAAAGTGAATTTATACTTAGTTTAGAGACTTTCTCCCTGAATAAAGGCTACTGCAATACACATAAATAAGAAGTTTCTCTGCTTATCATAATATTGTTCTCATAAAAGTTGCAAACAATTTTATCAACATTGCTAATATTTGGATACTTTTGGCAAACCCAGCAAGAGAAACACTCATTTGATTTGTCAATATAAATCCAGCTTAGTTGTTGCCCGTGTTTTTTATTGCTTGCCTACAATCCATTTACAGTGTTCCAAAACATAAATTCAATATCTTTTTGCCATATATTCAATTTTCCCAAAGTCATAGCACAATCCAAGTCATTGCACTTTTTTTTCGCATGTTTAGTTTCTCTCTCTTCTTCTCCTTTACATTTAAAGTTACGTTCCTCTGTACCATCTCTCTTTAACATCGAAAAGATGCTTAGTTATCTTGGCATTTTTTAAAAAATTTAAAAATAATAGCATATTAAGTATTTAATAATAAGTTAATAAAAATATCATATTATTGGTGTTGTTAAACGCACAATAAAAAAATTAAAATTTTAACAAACATAATAACTTTATATATTCTATTAGATTATGTATTTTTTAGCAAAACTTGAACATTATTTTTAAAACTTTTATAAGTTTTAAAATGCAAACTAACATTACTTCACTTTAAGGAAAATAAGAAAAAAAACAAAAAACGCGCTATTAAAAAAAGCAATCGTTGTTTAAGCATGGTTTTTTTAAACGTAATTGCAAATGGAGTCATTTTAAATAAAATTTTGAATGCTTTTATTAAACGCATGCAAAAACCATGCTCAAACTAATTACTTTCTTCATTTCATTGAAGAAAATAGCTTTAGTGTGGTTTCTTTTAAAGTCTTTGAAAATGGGTTAAAAATTTTCGTAATTGATTGTTTTTTGTATTTTTTATAATAAATTAAAAGCGATCAATAGTTAATTGTTTGGAAAAAAAAAATGCTATAATAGCGCGTTCTTTTCGAAAAATTTTAGGCGAACGCCAACGTTTGCTTTAGGAAAAGTGAAGGAACATGACGTTCGTTTTTCTGTCTTTTTTTGTTCAGACGTTCGCACGTTCGTCGATTTTTCGTGCCCTATATATATATATATATATATATATATATATATATATATATATATATATATATATATATACAGGGGCTATTCTAGATCATTTTCAGCAGCGCCGACTGTATTTGGGTGCCGCCCAAATTGAAAATTGAGGATTTTTTTTTTTTTTTATCAAAAAATGTTAGCTGCCTCTAAAAATAGTCTCATTTTAAATGTTACTTAAATTTTATATAGTTAAAAAATATAGGATTCCTATTGCAGTAAATATTTCAATTTTAATCTAAATGGAAAAATAGAAAATAAAGAAATAGTTCTATATATAAGGGTTATTCCATATAAGATAAGCCAATTTTTTGAAAATTTCCTGGTTGACTATTAGATTTTCTTGAAATTTACATGCCTTATAAGTTTTATGGAAGAAAAGATTCCCCTAAAATTTTAATTCATTATCTTGAAGCATTCTAAAATCACGGCAATTTTTAAAATTAACGTCTTAGCCTCTTTTGAGCAATTTATTGTCTTTTTCGAAAAATTCTTATTTTCAAATACATATAAATAAAAAACCAATTATCTTAAATACTTAAAAATCAATCTGATGGCAGTAATCTACCTAGAAAAAATAATATTTTTTTCTACAAAAATAATTATTTTTGCTATTTTGGACTTCAAAGTTATAAAAAAAAATTTCAATATTAATAAAGAAAATAAAAGCAGAATATACATGCAAATGTGAATATGGATGGTAGTCATCATTGCTGATAAGTTAGACCCCCCTAAAAAAGCCTCCAGCCTTAAAATGTTAAAATTAGGTAATTTTAAGAACTGAAAATTAACGGGTGTCCAGTAAATTTAACACTTGAAACTTTTAGGAATGTATCTTCAATATAAGAAGAAATACAGAAAAAATAATTTTGGGATGTCTTGTAGCTACTGAGATATCTGAACTTAAACCTATCATAATAGGATTCTGGAATTCAAAATGGGCCATTTTGAATTTTTTATATAATCAATATTTTTAAAATAAGTTTAGGTTTCTTTATTATTAGTTGCATTAACTGTTTTAAAACATGTATCACTTGATATACATTTCATTTCTAGCTTCCTATCATTACATAGTATAAAACAGTGATGTGAACGCATTCCTGAAAATCTTTTGAATCTGAGTAGCGGTCATAAAGCTTTTTCTATATGATCTGTTATATTTGTTTCAGAAATACTAATGAATTTAATACCTGTTATATTTTTAGTACACCATTTAAGCATTTCAGTGGCAGATAATAGATTGCTAAGAGTTTTATAGTTTTTGTATTGGCTAGCTGCTCTATCACTAAATTAATAACATAAGGTCAAATATGGCAAGACAATTTTTATATCTTCTAAAATTCTAGTTAAGCATTAGCATTAGCATTATGTTGCATACATGCACACACACACACACACACACATATATATATATATATATATATATATATATATATATATATATATATATATATATATATATATATATATATATATATATATATATATATATATATATATAGCAAAATTATAACAAAGATATGCATGTCTTTGTTATAATTTTGCTCTTTGATTTGATTGATACTATCTGTCTATTGTATATAAATAAGCTTCATCTAACAAGTACAAAATGTGTTTATAGGTTCTATTAGTGACAGCGCTGTCAAAAGCAAAAATTTTAACAGAAATGAACATTCTAGCAACTCAAGATCAGCTCTTCTTCAAGAATGGAGATTAAAAAAAGAAAAAATTAAAAATCAGGAATCAAAAAATGCAAAAGGTATTATTTTGAGTTTGATTTAAAAAAAAAAAAATTAATTTAAAATTGTCATTTTAAATTAATTTTTTTTTCATTGTTTAAGAAACCAAAAATGTCTATATCAACTAACAAATTAAAAAAAAATTAAAAAAAAAAAAGTTGAATTATTGAATCAAAGCCAAAATACTGAATAAAACAGTATTTTTTTAACAATATTATAATAACTTTCCTTAAATGTTTTAGTTCTTTCAGAAAGCTTAAAAATAACTTGTTTTAAATATACAAATAACTTAAATATTTTATAATGATAATTTAAACAGGTTAAGCTGGTGTTTCCATGTAACATTTCTAAATTTCAGATTTAAACAATGTTGTTATTAACATCATTTGTTAAATCTTACCAAAAGTTATGGTGTTTAGCAACACTGATTTACCTGTTTTGTTGTGGAGTGTAACATTTTTGTTTTCTTGAGATAATGGCTTCTTTTTATAAAAACAATTTTAGAGGATGATTTTTTTTCAAAGAAACAATATTACATGGTGTCTTTTTTTTCAACGAAACAATTTTACATGATGATTTTTTTTGTAGAAACATTTATAGAGGGTAACTTTTTTTCAAAGAAACAATTTTAAATAATGGTTTTTATTTTTAATGTACTAATTATGTTACACACACACAAAAAAAAAAAACTGCATCAAATATGCTGTTGACGAAGTTGTTGAATTTTTCTTCAATTTTTAACTAAGTGGTTTCCTCCTTAGTTAATGGTGGTTTTTATTTAAAAAAAAGAGAAATCTTCAAAGATTTCCCTTTTTTAAAAATAATTGAATAAGAATAATATGGGATAAAAAACTGTCAAAAAGGTCTCATATCATGATTTGATGTATTTTCTTTACAAAATCCAGTTAACGCAGACAAGCATGGCTTGTATGATATGCAAATAAACCATGATATATATCACTACTTTCTTGTGGTGTTTTAGTTATTAATTAGTTTTCTTAGATAAAAAAATTTAAGTTAAAAATAACTCAGGTTTCTAAAAGAGAGATTAGAAAAGATAATTAACACTTCTTTTCTTTTTTTTGAATTTACTTGGTGTTTATTACTTAAAAAAGAAATTGGTTTAAAAAAGAAAGATACAATCAATTATTTTCAGAGTATAATCTATATTAATGCTATTTTAATAGACCCATGCTTTATATTAATTCTATTATAATAGATCCATGCTTGGAATTCAAAAAATACATTTATATCTAGAAATGTTACTATATTGAGTACACTATAAAATGTGCATCTACAGAGTGCGTCTTTAGAGTATGCAGTGTCAACATAGTGTCAGACATTAAAATTTTTAAGAAAATTCAAAAACATGTTTCAAAGATACAATCTTTATAACCTTAATTACTCTATTTGCTCCCCCAACTTTAAAAAATTTTAAACTTTCAATGAAACAAAAAAATCTTCACATCTTTGGAATTAGCAGAGAAAATTATAAAAAATAAAAAAATTTAAAGTGGGCAAATATTAATTTTAATGCAATTATTGCAGTGTTGTTGATATTTTTATATATTTGAATGGAAACACTTTTTACAAGTTTTCCTTTAGTGTTGTTCCAAAACATGAAGAAACAACTGCTTTGAAATGTTTTAGAGTTTCAATAAAACCAAAGATTTCATAAACACAGGCTTTTTCAACCATTCTTTAGAGAATGTCACTGTTTTTTAAAAGGTTATGGCAATCATTGCCTTTGAAGTGTCTGCCATGGTACGGCTAGAGAAACTTAACTATATAAGTTTCTTTCCTGCAAAAATTTTTCATTTCCAGACTATACTAATTTTTCATTCCCAGACTATACCAATTCTATATAGAATTATACTATTTAATAGTATAATTCTATTTTTTAGTCAATGTCGGGTTTATAGACCAATTTCAAATGTTTACAAAATCATCAATTCCGTGGGCATGCGCACAAAGCTGGCAGGCAAAAAAAAAAAAAACATTCCTACGATAAATATTAAGAGGATAGACGTATTATTATTATTTTACATAAAATTACAGCTTTAGATACGTTTGTAACTATTTTGTGTCTATAATTAAACTATTCTAACGCATTATTGGCATGTCTACAATACAAAAGGTTGAAAATCTATCGTAAAAATGGTTATTTATTCAGCTGATATGTATCAGTTTATATTGTTATGAGCTAGTAGAATAAATAATAAAAAAGTACAAAAATGCTTCACACATAAAGAAAAGTAGAGAAGAAAATCAAGGTATTTTGCTACTTTTTTTTATAACTGTGAAGTATATTAATATATATATATATATATATATATATATATATATATATATATATATATATATATATATATATATATATATATATATATATATATATATATATATATATATATATATATATATATATATATATATATATATATATATATGTATATATATATATATATATATATGTAATAATCAAATGGTGCATACTATTTAATAATGTAATAAATAACTTTTTCTATTCATACATTGAATTTGTCTAGTTTGTTATATTACCATATCTAGTAAAAATATAATACATTGCCATAAAATAAACATTTGTTATCACTAAAAGGCATTGTTAATAAAAATACTGTAATTAATCCCTACATTGAGGACAGAACCAGGAGCCTTTTGGTTTTCTTGCAACATTTACACATGAGTAATGAAACTATTTTTTGGCACATTCTATATTACTGCATGGAAGCATGAGTCCAAATTCTGGTTTCATGCAAAAACAATATTCGATGTTGAAAGCTTATATCCCTTTTTCTACTGATAATTTCTGGCAAAATAGCATTAAAAAAATACTTAGTCAAAACATCAACAACTACTTCAAGAAATACATCATCACGCTGTACAGTGCATTGTAAATAATTGTTCTGCCTAACTGGGGACCATATAAAAAACTCACCAAAGGTAACTTTGCAAACAAAAATTTGTAACTGCATCTGGAAAAAATAAGGATGATTTGATTTCAGACCATTACTGTACAGAGAAAACTTCTCATCACTTTGCCATTTAATAAACCATTTTTGTAATTAAATGGACACTTTATCTCTAAAATATCTTTTCCATGGCAAGAACAGGTAAATATTCCATCAGGAGATGCTCCTAAAAAAGGCAGGTCAGCCATAACATGAAAACCAGAGTCAACAAACACAAAATTGTGATGCTTCTTTAACTGGATTTCACAAAAAGTATTTTTAGAAAAACATTCCATTTTCTTATCATATTGTGTGAATTTGGTCTTAAATTCATTTTTATATTGCATGATTTCTTGTATAAGAGATGCCCAATGAACGTGCCAAACTGATGACTGATTTTGCTGATATGTTACTTTAGCAAATTGATCATAATGTTTTTCAAAATATGTTTGGCTAAAGTCTTCATATAGTTGCTTGGAATGTTTTAAAAGCTGGAATTCAGTTAAGATATTACAAGTAGGATAAAACAAACTAGTAATAGGTTCTGGTAAACAACTTGTCTCATTTTCTGAACCTGACTCAGTATCACTTGATTTCTGATTGCTATTACAATCTAAGCTAGTAAATATAACAGCTTTAGGATTGGATTGACGTAAATTGTTAAAGTCGCTTACTGATATGCAATGTGATGGGTCAATGTACGAGTAGTTTCCATTTACTTTAAACATGGTTGATGCTCTTATGCTTTTTATTTTTTTTTTAAGAACAAAATTACTAAATGGGGGTAACTCTCCCCTTTTTTTATTTGTGCTAAAATTCATTGCACTTAATGGTGTTGCATTGACACTGCGCTTTGAGGCATTCCATAAACAAAACTGACTTGTAGATGCATTCTCTCTATTTAAACGGTGGTGCACAGCAGCCTCAAATTTAAAAAGTAGAACTGCAATATGTAAACAGACTGAACCTAGTCCTACTGGACAAGTGCAGCTGGCTCTTTTAAGCCACCCGTCTTTGTGACAAACCCATACTTCATACATGCAACTCTTTATGCTAACTCGCTGGCTCGGAAGAACCTAAATAAAGATCTATTGCCAATATGAAAATCTTTTTAAAATGATAATTACAATAAAATATTCGTCAACTTTGATCTAATATAAAAAATAGTTCTTAATATTTTTGAGAACTAGTTTTTAATTATAACAAAGTTGAAAGAAATGAAATGTTGTTTTAATTTCTTTCCACTAAATGTATAACGTAACTTTATTACTTGATCGTGAACAAAAATCCTCTAATATTGTTTATATCTTAATATTATTAGTCTAATAATAACTGATTTGTATGCTCCTAATAATTAGGAGCATACAAAGCAGTTTAGAAATCAATGTCTATAATATATAACCTTAGTTTTTATAAAACAATAATCTTTATTGATACTTGGAGCATACCAACAATCTTGCACGTGGCCATTTTCTTTTGTAAACTCATATTTTATTTTGTAAACTCACTAGGAGTGTTGATGAGAAAACTTATCACATCTCTCCAAGTAATGTCAGGCAACTTTGTAATGTCTTTCTGCCAAACACTTTCATTAAAATTTTCTTGATTTAACTTAACCACACTAGCAAAATTCATTATTTATTTAATGATAAATACGATTTTAATATTTTAAATGCTGTGTTTATAAGTAATGTTGACAATAGTTTAAAATTGTTTTGCCTGCCAGTATGCACACGCGTATTGTTTTGCTTTTTATTATTATCATTTTGCTTTTACGTCACATGAAATTGGTCTAATAAAATGACATATTTAATTAGTGCCCTGGTTGGTTACTAAATAAACTTCTGAATTCAATATACTCTGTCTAACATGAATTATTTGAATTAATCTATGGATGAAGTTGTACAGAGTTCAAATTTGGTGGTTGTGTTGCCTAAATAATGATATAGATCACTATTTGTTTAACTTATACTTCAAAACATGATATGCATCAATACTTGTTTAACTTTTACTTCATGATAAATATCTGTACTTATTTAAGTTGTAATATTAAGCTACATTATTATTTTTGTTTTATTTGATTGTTTATATTATTATATAAAGTTAAGCCAAGAGTTACTTTGGTATGTTGGACTTATGGGTCCTCAGGGACAAAAAGTTTAAGTTTTTTTCACCTGAAATAGGTGTCCTGTAGATCTTTTTGCTTTCCCTCATATAAAATCTTTAGAGAGCTTAGTTAGGCAGGGCTCCTCAGTCTTTTATTGTAGTCCTTATAATTGTTTAAAAAATATTGATTGTAAGTCAACTTCTCAAAAGAAGTCAACTTAGACCTCAAAAGAAGGGTAATTGGATAAAAATGTAAAAAATAATAATCATTTTTATTAAAAATATTAAAAAAAAAACTTGGAAAAATAAACTTTTCCATTTTCGATTTAAAAATATTTTTATAAAATTTTACTGATTTTTATTTTAAATGGTTATTATTTTTTAAACTTGTAGCTGGTGGCATGAGAAAAATTAAGAAACGAAGATTGTAAGTATTTAAGAAGTAACATTATTGGAAACTGTCTAATCCACGCAAGAGCAAAACCAAATATGGTAAGGCAATGACAAATGATAATGGCTCATTTTTTTTATTAACTTTTTCTCAAAAACAATGCTAACATGAGCACTTAATCAGCATTGTTTTTTTAGAAATAGTTTTGGCTTTTAGATAAATAACCTTTTATTACAACTAATAATTGCAGATAATCACTTAAAATGGTCGCATTAATATTTATATATGTCAAAATTTCTTGTTTTTTATTCAGCTAAATTTGTTGTGAAGCATGTTGAACATAAAATTAACATATATACCGAACATGAAAAAGAACCAATCAGTGCAAAGCCAACAAATCCAAAGAGTATCATTCCGAAGAATTCTAAATCTGTAAGTAAATTCTTTCATTGATAACAATATTCTTAATTTTCAACTTATTCTAAGGATTTGCTTATTATCTCATAAGTTGAAATAAAAAGATAAAAAATAACCAACAGTTAAATACTCAAACATGAAAACTATAACTAAACTAAATTACTTGAAAGTTAAAACATATTTAGTAATTTAAATGCATATTGTATTTAAAATATATTTAAATACCAACACAAAAAGCAGACAGAAATTATGTTATAATTCTTGTCTGTTTTTAAAATACATTAAAATACCAACACAAAAAACAAACATCTAAGAAGATCTTAAACCATTAAAAACTATAGACTATAAAATGCTAAGGGATTGTCCATAAATTATGCAACGCTAAATTTATTTTTAAAAAAGGAGATCTTAAGTTCTTTTGGGTAGCAATTTTCATTAAACTTAATGAGCAGTTTTGATTTTTTATTTAATTTATGATTTTTATGAATTTTATTTATTTTATTTAATTTATGAATTTTATGAAATTATGAATTTTATTTATTTTATTTAATTTATGACATTGCGAGGGAAAACTTTTGACCTTTTTTTGTTTTGCTTATTAGTGAAATTTAGCGTTGTGTAATTTATGGTCGATCCCTAATAATAGGTAAAATAATAGATTATAATACTATTTTGATGGTTATCTGAATTCTGTTATTGTTGCGCACTCAGTTTAGAATGTTTAATGGGAGCGTGGTAAAATAGCTGTAAAACTCTTTAAATTTCCTTGATATATTAATTTTAATTTTTAACTTTTAATTGTTTTTAAAAATAATAAATTTAATAAAATGGTTTATTTTAAATATAAAATTAGAATTTTCAATTATGTTCTTATTAAAAACATACTTTTTAAACTCCCTTACTGTTTAAAAAAAAATTCAAGATTGCTCATCAGCTTGCTTTTTTTTTTTAAAATTTTTGTTATTTAAAATGTAAAACAAAACAACTTTATAATTCTATAGATTTTATATTCTATATATAAACATGTTGTATACTCATTTTCCTTGCACAAACTCAAATTAGTTGTAAAAAAAAACTAAAATAACATAAGTATCTCAATCCTGACACATACGCAACAAATTCTCTACCTTTTTTTGATGTTTTTAGAATTTTTTGCTTTTTTAAAATTTTTATGTTTTTTTGTGTATAAAATTGTTACATATGTTTATATATAATCTCTATATAACTTCAAATATATTTTTTATTTTAAAAAATTAAAAAAAAAATTAAATTAAGAAAAATTGCCAGACTCATACCACGATTTTTTTGTTCATAATCTCTGCACGCTATCCACTCGACCACGCTGGCACATTGACTAACGAAATTTTAAAACTATATTATTTTTTTTTAACAGAAATAAATGCTATAGATCAAAACTAAGGAAAAGTTGATGTAAGCGTAAGGTTGGCATAATGCAATTTTTAAATAAAATGTAATTTTCAAGTAAAAGTCAAATTGTAAAACTTGATATATGTTTAAGGTGGCACACAACTGAAAGCAGGTTTTTTTTTAATTGTTGTAAATTTTAATAATTTTTTTTGAGGGAAAAAAACTTAAATAAAAGTTAAATGAAAAAAAGCATATAAATTTTTTTTTGGTTGAAAAAAAAGTTCATAATGGCTGAAAAACCTAATAACTTGATTTTGCTTTTGTAACTCAAACTAAAATTTTGTACATAGTTTCCTAAGCATATCTTGTCCGCTTGACCGTGGAAATTTTTGTAATTTAAATTATTTCAAAAAATATTGCATTTTTAACAAAATCACTTTACATTTATATAAAATATCAATAGTTTTAACACTTTAAACTACAATATTTCATCTTTTATAGCTTTGCATTAAAAATCTGAAAGTCAAAATAAATATTATATTGTAATAAACAAGTCCTGAAAATTTTATAATTAGGCAGAGTTCGGTTAATGAGAAAAAAAGTTTCAAAAATAACATGTTGCTAAAAAAGCATAAATAAGAAAAAAAAATAAAAAAAGAACATAAAAATTATCAAAATCCACCAGGAATGTAACTATTGTGTCTTTTACTTGTGGATCATCCATAAAACCTTTTTCAACTGCTCTCAGGTTTTTTCTTTGCATTTTACTTTTAACCATTGACTTTGAATTCACATGTCAAATTCTGGTTTTGTCAATTTTACATGATAAAGCTAAGATATATATATATATATATATATATATATATATATATATATATATATATATATATATATATATATATATATATATATATATATATATATATTTCAGCTATTCACCTCCCCAAGGCCCGAGAGGGCCACTACAGTCGAGGAGGCTACTCATTTTTTTTTTTTTTAGTTGTAAATTGTGGTACAACCCTCTCTCAACTCTTTAACTCCGAAACACAAACCTTGAAAAGCAAGGCCGCTGCGCGGAGAAATTAAGTTAAGCGCGGTACTTCCAGGGACATGGTGGGAGTCGAACTCAGAACCTCTCGCTTACAAAGCGAGCGCTCTTACCACTACACCACTATCGCATGTATGACAATTCCATTCATTTCAAAGTACTTTAAAACTTGTACACCGTTAGCACCATCATTATAATGTAGCACTGCTGAGTATGTTCCTATTTTGATTGTAGACTTTCTAACAAATGTGTACTTTGGTACGCGAGACCATATAATTGAATTTAAAGCTTCATTGGCATTTTGTGTTGTACCGTGAAAACATTTAATTAGAAGATTATCAACTTGAAGATCTTTGATGGTTTATAAAAGAAGATGTTTAATCCAGATAGGTATACATGATTTTGGTTTGTAATTTTTATGATTAAAAGCTCAATATTTGCACCAACTTTTTAATTCTCTTGGGCAAAACTGATGTTGCATTTGCAAGTTTTCAAAATTGGTGAAATAAAATAAAAGAGCATAAACTGCTTTTTTCATAGCATACAAGTTGTTGACATTTTGATGAATTGTCATGTCATAATAGTTAGATATAGAATTACATTTTTTTGTTAGGTTACCTCTGCCTGATAAGGGAGTTTTAGTGTACACATTTCAACTGCAACAAATGTGCAAATCCTTTTCTACTGGAATCAACATCTAATAAGTTAATGGCTGAAAGCAGTTATTGTGTGTAGTTTTAGCTATCAGTTCTTTGAGAATTGAAAAGTTACTAAAAACAAAATAATGATCTTTTTCAGAGTCAAATGTTTTCGAACATTTTAATTTGATTTTTCTTTTACTAGAACAGCTACTAGCTGTTTTATTTGTGCTAGATTTTTAATTGCAACAACACCATTCCATTTTCGTTTTATTCTTCTTGATAAATTTATTTTACTTGTATTTCCTAGTTTATCCAGTTTAAATCAAAAATTTCAACATAAGAAACTAAAAATAGTCAAAAAACACTCCTGTCCTTAAATTGAGTTTTGAAGTATGACTTTTAAAATGGAAAACTAACAAGAGTCTGCATATAACACATTAAAATCAAGTTTGTGATGGTATTTTCCTGTTTTGAATTATTAAAAACTCAAATATTTGGTGGTTGTTAAGGCATTGTTAGGGAAGTTTTTTAAAATTTGAATTTAGTGTTAAAGATATGTGTTATCAGCATTATTTTATCAAGTGAAAACCTTTTTTGATATCAACATAATCTAATAAGCAAGCTATGAAACTGTATTCTTTCTAAAAACTGTCCTCTGGGGCAGAACCACATGAATAGGAGGCACAATTGCATACTTTTGGTATTTATCAAAATTAGGTAATTGTCACACTTGAATGCGTTCATGTAAAAACTTGAATAGAAATAGTTTGGTTTTGAGATGTTGGAAATTAAATTTCGTATTTTTTTATTTAATTTTAAATGAGTTTTTGAATAAAATGTCAAGCTAAGAGTATATCAAATGAGTAAACTCAGACTGTAAGTACAAAGAATGTCTACACAGTATGCAAATGTGCAACAAAATCAGAAAAAAAATCTGAGCTGTGACAATTGTAAAGGAAAAGTACCAAGAAAAGTGTACCCCCAACGATTTTTATTTTATATTTCAATATTTGGTTGGATGTCCCTTAATATCAAGAACTGCTTGTATTCTTCTTGGCATACTATGCACTAATGTTTTACAGAGTTCTGGTTTTATTTTATTAGTTCAAACTTCTTTTAGAACTTTTTGGAGATGTTCTTTAGATTTTGGCTGATGTGCTGCAACTTTCTGCTTCATAATATTCCAGCAGTTCTCAATAGAATTAAGATCGGTTGAACCTGAGGGCCAGTTGGATAATAATTCAATACTATTATCAATAAACCACGTTTTAACTATTTTAGCTGTGTGACATAGTGCTGAATCTTGCTGAAATATGCTGGTTTTGGTAATTTCCATATGCAGTTTCACTTCATCTTTCAACACACATAGATACTTTTGTGCATTTACTTTTTCGCTTTTTTAAAGATGTGCACACCACATCGACCTTGTACTGTAATAGCACCCCATACAATAACTGAAGGAGAATGTTTGACTGTTTTTATGGTATACTTCGGATTCAGGCATTCTCCAACAGCTGTTAAAAATGTACTTTTGTCTGTAAACGTTACTTGTTCCCACCATTCCGGTGTCTTGTCTTTTAAACTCTTACAAAATTTAATCCTAATAATTTTTAGCTGGTCTTCTAGCAACTAAATCAAAGTCATAACACAACCTTCTTCTAAAATACCCCTTTCCATAGCGAGTTGTGATAATCTTGCAGGTGTTGTGTGGGGCTCACTATTAACAATATTCTTTAAAAATCTGTCTTCTCATGATGTACTAATGTGTTTTCTACCACAATTTTTGCGGTTTGTTGTGTCTTGCAAACATAAAGCATTTTGCTTAGCAAATCTCAATATTTTTAGGCGTTTTGATATACTTTTTTGAGAATAACCCTCTGAAAAGAGTGTACTTATTTTACCTTTAACCATTATTTTACCATAACAGGGCTCGACTTAATGCAAAAAATCTTATGGCG